GCCTTTCAGAACGGTTATACGAGAGTTGTACCACCTATTTTCTCGGGGGAAAATGTTTCATTTACACTAGGTATTAAAGTTTCTTATACATAGAGGTCATGAAGTGCTCCAATTGCCATGTTATACATATCGTTTCTGAACGCTGTATATATTCTTCTCAGAAATTCGTTTTTCCTTCTGTGATTTTACAATGACGTCATACTTCCCTCTCTTCCTCTGACATGTTGTTTTACGAGAATATTCGAAAAGATTCTTACTTTTTATTGCTCTTCTATAGATATAGCTGTTCTTGAAAAGAAATTAAATTGCTTTTATATGCCCTTTGTCTATCCTGTTGAATTATTAGGTTTCGGTGGCTAAGTCCCTCTCTTCTGATGCTGAGCGAATATATCTTGGAAGCCTCCTTCAGACAAGAAGGGTAACTTAGCATTGCCACAATCTGCTGTTCAGTTGGATGGTGGAATGCATTTGCCTGTCAGCGGAACACGAAGAAGATGTGCTTATGGTTGCACAAAAGTGCAAGTTCAATCAAACATCGAATGCTCTACTTGCAAACTAGCTTTTTATTTAACAGACAAGAAAAATTATTTCATTGAATACCATAAAGTTTTCACGGAAACATTTTGAGTCAAATTCAATAAACTGATAAAAAGAATCAATTTTTGATGGAAAAAGATTCCGTGCTGAAAGGGTTAGCATGAAATCAGTAATAGAGTATCTCCAAAGGTCTTAATAGAAAGACAGACAAAACAAAACCGTACACAAAGGGCGTATGGTGGGTGAAGGTGTGGGCGTGTGGTGGGTGGTGTGGGTGTGGGGTGTGGGTATGTTTTGATTCCATCTACTCCGACATCGACACCGAAATCCACACCCCTCCCACCCCACACCCACCCATACCCACACCCACGCCCTCAAGGGTCTATAATTTCACCCATGTTATTTCTTAGTTATCACGTCAACATGGATGATTTTCTTTCTTTTTGTCTCAGTTACTCCTTCGCCGATGATCTAGCGGCAGTTTTAGCAGGCAGTATTGGCATGAAGTATTCAAATCAATGTATTCACTTAGAACGTAAACTACAGTTATTCTTTGAATATCTTGAATTTTATTCAGTGCTAACTGTTCAGCCCATAAATTATACAAACAACAGAAGCACTTTGGTCGATTAGGGCAATACGTAGGCTAAAATTTGAGATTTTATATGGCGGAAATAAAATACCATGGGTAAACGAATGTAAATATCTTGGTTATTTGATCACACCAAAACTGAGTTTTGGTACGTTAATTAGAAAAAGTATGATGAAAATTGGGCAACTTACCAGTATGATAAATTCTTTTCGTTTCTTCGGTACGACTTCCTCAGCGTTAAGAAGAGCGTTATTTTTCTCTTATGTTTTTCTTTTGTTTGCTTGGTTGTTTCCCTTTCTTCCCACTATTTACAGTCAAGTAACAAGAAGATTTAAATCATTTTTTTTATAAAAGTTTAAAAAGAGTGCTATTTTGTTTACAGTGGAATGACAACTTTTTTCATACGTACTCGATTAAATATCGTTAGAGGACAGATGTTTGAGATATTGGAATAAGTATTTATTAGCTTTATCAGATACTACAGACGGTGAGTTCATGTTTGAGCAGGCGAACTTAAATGTGTTTAGAGAAGTTTGGCTGCGGGGAGAAAATAGTATAAAGGGAGTTTTCAGATAAAAACGATATGTAGAGCAGTTTTCGTTGTTGGAATCATGTGTCTCCTGGTGCGCAGGTATACCCTCGAATGAATCGATTTTACATTATAAAGTTGAAGACGTAACGACTCTCAGTGACTTTTCGGAGACTTTTTGACAGTGCTCGTATTTTTCTGTTCATTTAAACGTAGTAATAAAGTAAAAAATTGTTTTTGTTGTGTATCTATATAATCACTTTACATGTTAGTTGATGTGTCATTCATTTTCTGAAAATTCTTTCGAAACGTACGTACATATATCTGAACTTATATTTCATTTCATCTTTCTTTACTTCATATTTTTACTTTTCACCTCTGTACTGTAAGGACTTAATAAAGTCGTCAGTTTCTTGCAAAAAAATGCTCTCAAACTGTACAATACAGATGGTGTTGATCGAAGACAACACAGACGCTCGATGTTGTCCTTCTCCTGAGTAATACGTGCAGAGACATTTACTTTCACAAACGAATCTCCATCTCATCATAAAGAATGTTTTTTCTTTCATTTCTCTTACCATCAAGGATTACCGAGCATTTCAAAATAACACATCGATGGCGCTAATAATCGAACTGGGATAATAATTTGTATTTTCTATTTTTTTTTGTTTTTAGAAGAAAATTTTAGCTTTTTTGCGATATTTTAAAATAAATTAAAATTTCTGATGACGATTAACAGTAGCATTATCATTGATATAGGATTAGGGCATGTTGGCAGTTTGCATCATCCACTCGTTTCTTCCCTCTCCTTGTAGTATAAATATCATAAATACCATTCACTTTTTTCATCTCTGACTGTATCATCAACATTATTGCAGTTCAAAGCAAGTATTCCATCAAACAGAATAATATCTTGTGAAACACGTCCTGCATTCAAAATCCAAGTATGCCATTTTTTCATGATCACACCTAATTATATATCGTAGACATTTTCGAGCAAGACTTGCAATTTCACACTGTTAAGCTTATTAAAGTGCTGAACATCTCGAAGGTTTTATACGATGATGAGAGAATATAGTTTAAATATATAGCTCGATCTCTCATGACTACTAGCGACTATATTGTAAGATTGTTTACAAAGCTGTAAGCTGCGTTAAATTTCTCGCACCACACGCTTTGCATACACTGTAAAAACTAGACGTAGAATAATAAACCCTTCGGAAAAGCGTTTATTAATGTACCCTTTAGAAGAAACCGTAGAATAAAAAACGCTTTGTCGAAGGGTTTATGATACAAATAAACCCCAAAAAGGATATATGAAAGGGTTCATGAGGTTAATAAATCCTTCTGAAAGGTTTATTATTCTACGCCTATTTTTTACAGTGAGACACACACCCACAGCCTCATACCCACACCCACATCCCTCAAGATATTGGTTGCATAAAACCAGGACCACATAGTTCCTATCCCAGTTCTCATTTTAATTGAGCTCTACTACCTTTTAATTTTTCTGACAACCTTTTTAATGATTTTTATTTTATTCAATTTTCTTAGTTTTTCTAATATCCTTCTACTTTCACCTAAATGTTATTTTTCATTTTGTGCTTATAATCGTAAATGCACCGTCCTGATGAGGTTTTAATATTTTAATAAACAACAAGAAATCTGTCCTTGTAATGGAACTGTATTTCTTATCAAACGCTTCAAATTCAAGCGCATTTAGATTTTATTCGATTTATGATTTTATTTAATCGATTTCTAAAAATGAAAACTTGAGACTAGCAGATTGATTTGTATGTCAGAAATATATGTCGATCTGCTGTCATATGTTTTTTTCAGTAACGTCTTCAACCGCGTTTTTGAAAGTCCACTCCCAATTCCAATAATTTCTCGAAAGCAGCTGAAAAACTTTTGCTAAAAAGATCGTTATCTTTGGCATATTCTACTACATATTTTTTAAATTCAGGATCTTGAATCAGCGCCATATCAGTTGATAATATCATGAGAAATTTTGTCCTCACATCTTCGAACTGTTTTGGGCCATTCCATTGACGTTCTTGCCAATGTTCTTCTAACAAAGAACGAAAAAATTTATTTGAAAATGTGTTCGGCGTAGCCGTCCAATGTCCATCGTAACCACTTCGATTTATGTGACACCCGCCCATAGAATGTCCACCAATCAAAGCGGCAATTTCACTATCATTGAAACCCATCCGATAGAAAATATCTCGGATGTGTTGGACCCCTTGATCAGCGTCTGGCAGTCGACCATCCGGCGGTGATTTTTTCCCATCTCTATAATCTCTTCGTCCATGTCGCCATTTGATGATCGGCCCGCCCATTTTTTCGATGGCTACGACCCCAGCGAGCGTGTACAAGTCTGCATAGGTTAAGCCCGGATAAGCATGATAAACACTTTCCAAACGTTCTCGAGCTATGTGCAAACCTAGAATAAGAAAGTAAAAAAAACATTGTGAATCAGTTGTAGTTGAGCACGCTTAAGAACACTTTTTCTTTTTCGAAAAATCAAAGAACTGAAAAAATCCAAATTTTCAAACTGATAAGATATTGATTAGTAGATTAAAAAGTAGTGCTAAACTTGAAACGACCATTTTGCAAGCAAAGAATATATTTCGGAAGACAGGAAATTTCTCTGTCGAACTTACATTTCAGTCTTGATACAATGATTTTACTTAGTGTTTATTAAAACTACGCAAAAAATCGACGAAATACTTATTGAATCTGTTAAATTGATAGTGAAACAACGTTTACATAGTGACATGTAAAATAAATAGAACAAAGAAGGTTTCTTTTTTTTTATTAGTCGATGTTTACTTCATAAAAATTGAAAAGTCAATGAAATGAGGCAGATATTTTCGGCTTATAGGTATTCAATCATACTCTATTTCGAAGTGTTAGAGGACAACCCTCGACTTAGTATGTTGTCTTTCTTTCTCGTTTATCTTTGATATCTATCTCAGGTCATTTTCTTTATTTTGTCCTTATGTTTTCTTTAAACTCTATCTTCTATGGTTTGGAGCAATACCGAACGTCAGTGTTCAAGATCAACATACAAAATGCGTTCTGTTGATAACTTTTGTTTGGCTTTTTCATCGATGAATCATTCGAGAAACAAATCCAACAAGAAAGTTATATCAATAAATCCTAAAATGTGGTTGTGGGTGTGGGTTGGTGTGGGTGTGGGTGTGAGTGTGTGTGTGGGGTGCGAGTGTTGGAGTAGTTAATGTCACAGTCATAGCAACGCGAACACACCCACACCTCCACCCACACCTCCACCCACACCTCCACCCACACCTCCACTCACACCCGC